GGACGGACACCACTAACATAAGGTCTTTTCCTAATCTCTTCTCTATGCGGAGTGTAGGAAGGGTATAATATTATTGGGGATGCACAGAGCGTTTGATCGGTGACGTGGTCTGGAAAGTCTCCAGTTTTGTGTCCTTTCGGAGAGAACCTTTTTTTATTTCCCCTGTAGTCTACCTTAGAACTTGGGGACGACGAATTCATCCTAAACCACTCGGTCAAAACTTAACTTACGTCTAAAACATCCAGAAAACAACTCTTCCTAATGACGTCTTTTATTGTTAACAAATTGTACTTAAATGCATTTTACTTGAAAATAGTAACGATAATCTAGAATTGTGGGTGTTGTATGGGTGGTATGAGTTGTACCTTATGATTATAAATAATTACAACATGATTCTATATGTGAAGTATACTGTCATGAAATAACCGTGTCTTTTCCGCGAACTTTAAATATTTAATAAAATAATAATATTATCCGAACTACTTCGGTACTAGTCTGTGGTCCTTATTTCTTTTCTGTTTAATATAGTAGGCTAAATAGAGAGTGCTTTCTATAGACAGTAAAGTGTTCGCTTTGGTTTGTTCTTGGTACACGTCCGGACACTTATATGTCATGCTTTTGGATTCCTATACTACCTGCTTTAGCTCTAGGTTTAACTGTTTAGTTCTTATTGTGTTAAGGACCTATATCCTAGTTTGTGCCGTCTTATTCTCGGTAGTGTCTGAAATCTTAACAGGTTAGTCCTACTCTACAATTTACACTATTGGAAGTGTTTGTTTGACGGGTTCTCTGCTCCTTTTTCCCTGTCCTTTATTTGTATGTTGAACTACCTACTTTTACCTGGGGAGGCGCTACTCTCAGCGTTGGTAATAGTGAGCTCGTTTACTCGTGAACCTTATTTTTTATATATAGGGAATATAAAATAAAACAGTGGAACTGGTTTTCGACAGCAAGAGTACAGTAGACGCACGAGATAATGCAGTAATGCCGTTAAGACCCGGGCCGAAATTACACAACAGATACATGTGTTCAGTCACTTCCGTTGGTTGTAGTGTACACATGCGCCTACGAAACCACACCTCCCCTTCTAGGACCGGAGGGAGGAGAATTAGTCTGTACAAACTAACAGGTGCAGGTACATAGACGAAGGATGTGAAGGCGGAAACCGACTGACTGTGCGGTGGCCTTGTCAAAGGTTGGAGAGGCATTATCGATATTTCTACCACACAATCAGCAGTGCGGTTGCCGTGACTCGACTGTCCGGGCTTGAACAACCGGAATTTCAGAGGATAGGCACGTTTACATGAAAAATTCAGGAAATTATTGTTTATACAAGGGAAACACACAGTCACCTTGAGTGTTTCACAGTCTTTACATGGGTTTAGAGGTTTTTACCTGGGTGCCGGGATAGTCTTTTGCAGTGCGATAGTCTTTGAGCGATAGTCTTGTTCCGTGTTATGCAAACCCTCATTATACCAGACACAAATGTATCGTTTCGTGGCGATTGTGTCTCTTGTACACAATGTTTTCCGTCCTTATTTTTTTCCTTCATGGAACACCTTTGGACAGTTCTCTTCTTCGTAAACGTCGATGTATCGTTTCATGTATTTTATGTACAGAATACTCCACAAAACGATTGTATGGTTTGTCTAGTACGCAAATCGTTTAGTGCCGTCGTAAATCGGACTCTCTGCCGACTCAAGACGTCAGGAATCGACGTTCTCTTATTCGACACGTGTCTTAGTCGTGAAGATTGTCCTCGATCTATACCTACATCCTCCTCTAAAGATTTTCTCGTACTAACAACCATAAAACTCGTTTTGTGTAGTATCTGTACACTAAATATATAAACATATATAGACTTTGGGTATTCATATACGGATTTTTATCGTACTACCCTCTGGAAATTCCCGTTTGTGTGTAGGTCGACTGTGAAAGTTGAGAAAAAAACAACCACGAGAGACTTGGAGCCCCAAGTCTCTACTTTCCGTTTTCTGTTCTACCTCTTGGTGAAGAAAGATGAAAGTTAGACTCCAAAGTTCACCCTGCAGTCTCT